GTTCTTTGCATCAGACTGATGGAAAATGTGCTATAGATGGTCCTATATAGAACCTTTTTGAAAAAGGGTTCTACATAGCACCAAAAAGGGTTCTGCTATAGTTACAATGTTAAGGCTTTAACCAAAGAAGAACCATTTTCCTTTTAAAAAAAAGGTTCTATATAGAACCATCTATAGCACATTCTCCATCAATCTGAAGAACCAATTTTATGAAGACAAAGAACCCTTTAAACATTTCTCGAATGTTCATGGTTCTAAATAGAACCATTTTGTGCATAAAGAACCCTTGAAGAACCATTTTTTTAAGTGTGTAGTGAGTGGGTTTTTCTGGGGAAATGAGTTGAAATGATTGCCAGTGGTAACAGACTGTGCTCTACAGAAGCAGCAGATAAAGACTAAAATGAAAAATGCTGGAATTTTCCTTTGGTGCTCAGTTATGCTGTATTTAATCTATACTTTTAAGCAGTTTAAGCATCAACAATAGTTTTGAATTAGGCAAAATGTTTCACACTCTGAAGCAATATAACAAATCTATACTCTCAACTTTGTCAATGCTGCCTACAGCCTGGGGAGGAGTATCCTATTTTCTAATTGGTCTAACACGTGAGTGTAGAAGGCCATCTGTTGCTATTTAAAAAGGCTGGAATTTTGAAGGAGGTGTTTATTGGAACCCATCTTGGAAAGCCAGTGCGGCTCCTCAGCTTTTGATGGCGGCTGTGGTAAAGAGCTTTTCACTTGCAGTGCAAGCAGTCGTGGCTAACCATCTACATACTGCAGAGAAAGAGCTATTCACTGATGGAATTAACCCTTAAATAGCCAGGCCTAAAGTTTTATTGCACACCTCTGTAATCTAAGAATAGCTCAACCAGTTTGCATTGGAGTCCCTGTAGCTACTGAGTAATAAGCTTTAGTATGTAATAAGCCTGAGATTTTAAGGGGTTAAAGGCATCTGCATGAGTTTGAGGTCTTGAAAGTTTATGTGCACTAGTTTGTGTGCTTGTAACTGGGGCACAATGCAATGAATGTAAAAATTCTGTCATTTCCATGAATCAATTCAGGGTAACAGAACGATTTTTCTGCTTGTACCATTCCAAATCAACTAGATTACGAAAAATATTGTTGTTTATATCGTCGCTGTCCAAAGAAAAACATGTATACTTGAAGTGCAGTGAGTGTAAGAGTAAACTCCAAAGATGGATCATTGACTGACTTTCGAAGGCCAAAACATTACTAAATCAGAGATGGCACATGTTTATTCTATCTAAATATTTTACAGACACTATTCAGTGCAGGTGAACAACTGCAGGCGAATGGAAAACGCAGCAGTTATTGTTCTAGCAGTAACGTTCCTGCCTGGACAGGTATCAAACTTTCAGCTTTAGTGTGGACTTGTGGTGTTATCCACAACTCTGTCTATCTCACTGAGTTAAATGGAAATCATCAAACTAGTGCTATCGTCATAGTAGCCTAGTACTACTCAGCTACAATTCCCAGAGAATTCCAGCATCAGACCAATAATTTACTTCAGTTTAAAATCAACTCCATTAAATTTTCTCATTCATCAGCAAATCATACATCAACCACCAACACATCAAGCAGTCCTAAGTGCTTCCTCCTCTTCCACTAATTCTTCATCTCCCTGCCTAAAACCTGACAGAGGACCACCTGGAAAAGAGAAATTCCTCCGTCAGACAGACGACGAACTTTTACGTGAGCAGAGATTTGGGACTGTGTGAATTGGGGAAAAGGCTTGACAGACCTTACATAAGTCTGGAGAACGGGAGAGCAGACGAACAGACGAAGAGACAGACAGATACGATGGCCAGAGAGGCACGAGAGGAATTCTTCCCGTCATGCACTTTCCCGGAAGTCTCTCTCAGGAGGCCGCACAGAGGGAAAACAAACTGTGTGCGATGGCAATAACAGACCGGCAAAGTGCTGCGGGCCTCGCAAAAAAAAGTGAGAGAGAGAGACAGAGAGAGAGAGGGAGAGCTGGATGGGCTTCTCTTCTCCTGGGGTTTCCCTCCGTTTCTCGTCCAGTCAGGACTGAGTTCACATACAGAGTCTGCTATTGCATAAACAGCTCACTCTTAGGCTGATGGCTAACGTGTCAGAGCGTATGAGGCGCTGGTGTGTTTAATGGCAGTTCAGAGACTGAGTGTGTTTGTGTGAGTGTGTGTGTGGGTGTGTGTGTGTGTGTGTGCTTGTTTTCATACACATTCAGGACAAAATGTCCTGGAAAACCTGTGAAAAAGGGTTAACCTATAAATTCAGAACCAAGAAAAAAGCTCCTGATAGTGCTTTTTAAAAAGTTGTGATTCATTTTTATTAAAATAAAACAGCAAAGCAATTTCTTCATGGTTAGATTTAGAGTTAAGCTTAGGAAGTTTTTACTACATACAACTACATATAGGTACTTGATGACCCTATGACCCCAGATGTTATATAAAAACAAAAGTTTGTGTGTGAGTTGCAGCTGGTTAGTTGGGTGTTTCCATGCTAGGCAGCCCAGCTGTGGAATCCAAAGCTTGTACCAGGCGTGGGGAAGCCCTCATCAAAGCTCACCACTGGCCTGCCTGCATGTATAACTCTTCGCCTCAGGGTCCTAATGTCTGCCAAATCTGAACTCATACCAATCAGAATCAGACACGATTTGTCTCTGTCCAAACACAAAACCTGGGTCCAAAACTTCTACACCAAATAGTACTTCTGGAATGATTAGTATCTCTGAAATTGCAGTATTTATCAGATAGTAGACTAAAAGTATCCAGACGGAGCTCTCGAGTGGTGCAGATCATAGAACGGCCATCGTTCATGACGCACAGAAGTCAATCATCAAAACATCTCTCTGTCCTGGCACCCAAGTGGTGGCGCAAATTTCCAATGGGTGTCCGAACAGTCCGAAGAGTCCTTTGTTGTCTTCCAATGCCGAATGAAAACCCACCTTTTCAAAAAGCATTTAAATAAAGGCTAAGCTTGGATTTCTTAAAATGTCTCCTATTTACACTCATGAAACCTCTTACCGTATCTTTCGACCTAGGTATCGGCACTGACTCTCGTTTGCGACAGTATCTTAGTTAATATGTATATCTGGTCTCTATTTGTACTAATTAAGGATAAATTGTGAACAACAAAGCACTGTTGCTCTGGATAAGAGCGTCTGCTAAATGCAGTGACTGTTAAAGTAAGTGTGCAGACAGTGGACGCCATTCAATCCCATGATACCAACATTATTGAAGGTGGTCCTTCAGAAGCCTGTCAAATTTGGCAACGCGGCGGTTCCTGGAGAACTGAATTTTATCTTAATCAACTGTGGTAATCTTTTTTACTGTGTTACAGAAGAAATGATACAGATAACTCTTTGCCTTAGGGTCCTAATGCCTGCCAAATCTGACCTTAACCCAATCGGACACTTTTGTCTCTGTCCAAACACAAAACCTAAGCTGGATACAAACACTTCCATACCAAATAGTACTTCTTGGTTTATTCTCTTCTTTAACACAGTAAGAAGATCCATACTAAGCTTCACACAGCTCATTAAGATAATCCGCACCAATAAACTTAAAGTAAAAAAGTTCAGCAATTTCAAACTTTTTTTTGTCATCAAAAGTTAGAATTTTTAAGTTCTGGTATGACTAGTTGTGACACTGAATTGAGTTGAAAAGTTCCACTCTCCCTGAAACTGCCGAACTGGAGAACCCCAACACTCACTACACACAGCAAAAGCACTCATGAAATCACTAGCAGGTGGCTTTTCCATTTGTCTCTGAAGCAGCTGTCCTAAGCTGAGGTCCTGGAGCAGAACAGATAGATGGGCCTATGGTACGTATACATCTTCCTTTGAGGAAGGATCATTGTTTTTTAGCTTCAATCCATCTTAATTCATTAGTGTTTAACGCAACGGTTCGGTACACCTCCTCTCTTAGGGACGGGCAGCAGTCCAAGTCAAGTAAAGTGTTTACCCAAAAGACGGCGTAGCCCCCGTGGAGAGAGGAGCAGCAGACACATTCATATTCATTACGAAAAGCCTGAGGTGACTGATGCCAAGGAAAATACCGTAAAATGCTGCATGATTCGACTCTTCATTGGAGTTTCAGCGAATCTACTTTGCAGTGAAAAAACGGCCGGGGGAGCTGCACAGTCTGAACCCCTGATCCTAAGCAAGGCCTAGGTGTAACTGTTAAATGTGAAAGATCAACATCCCCTCAACTAACGGAGCTCATAAAAATGCATTTGGTGAAATTTGGTTATGAGAAAGAGAGAAAAAACTATGTGTTGGATGAGCACAAGAATTAATACCATTCTGCAATGTACATCTTAGAATCAATATCTACGCATATCAAATCTGGGTGAACACCTGTCTTAAAACATCACCTACCCACGTTCTCATCTACATCAGTATCGTTGTGAATATATAGGAAATATAGTTCAGGTGTAGCCAGATGGCTGGTTTTCTAGCACAATCTAGCAAATCGCTCTAGACCTCAAATATCAACAGGCTGCTCTTTTCCATCCAGACAGGATATGTTTGAAAAATAACAGATTCCAGCAGACAGACGAGGTGATTGAAATAATAGAGAGATCTATTATTTCTATGGAAGAAAATGAAAGAGATGGAGGAAAAATGGTGAGGGACTGTGAGGGAGAAAATGAGTCTGCAACTCTGCAAGAGAGAGAGAGAGAGCAGGAGAAAGCGAGAGAGACTGCACATGCCCCGTTTGTGATTCATTCCTTAACTTGCGGCTGAGCGTCAGTGAGCAGGCAATGGAAACTTCTGCAAATGTAAATACGTTTTGGTTAAAAATATAGCATCTTAATGCACACCACATGGGCTGCCTGGCAAGCCCTGCTCTATTTTGACGGGGAGACCGAGGGAGACGAAAGAGAGAGGGACGGAGAGGGAAGGATGATGAAAAAAAAGAGCACAGGAGAGCTAGTGAGGAAGAAAGTGAAAGGAAAATTAAAAGGGGGATGAGAGATGGGTCACGTGTCAGGCTCACCTTGGGCCTTCTCCACAAACATGACCTTGGAGTCGGGCAGGAAGTTGTGGCCACTCAGGAGCATCCTCTTACCCCCTGTAGCAGGATAGCTGTCCAGGCTTTGCTTCTCCACCAGGGGCAGCTCCTGGGCCGAGCGCTGGGCTGCATGCAATAAGGTAAAAGTCAGAAAAGTAACCGATCCCCGTCTTATTCCGGCTCTCACTCGCGTTTATATTAGTATGTGAGTAATAAACCAACTATTCTCATGACCATTTGAATGAGAAAAAAAGATAAAGCAATTAAAATTGACATAAATTAAATGTTTAAAAACTATTTTTATTCCTCAAAACCAAAAATAATAGACTAGCAAAGCCTTTCGAGGACTCCAGAACCATCAATGTGGCAAAGAAATGCGTATAAATGAGTGTGTCCATCAGGCTCTGCTTCTCACTGTGAGAACAACCAGTAGGGCAATTTAAATATGCATTATGATTATGTAAATTGCCAACTAATCACTGTTGATTGATTGGTAAAGTGAATTTTAATCAATCGATTGAAGTCAGGACAGCCCCACTCCTCATTCAAAAACGTTATAAAAATAGATAAAAATATATATTTTATAAATATTTAGTGGAAACAGTATATTTCATTTTCACATAGGTCAACCTGATCTCCATCTGCTCTTGCGCCTCCAGGCCTCTCCCCAATATAGAATAGCAAAAGCTAACTCTCTCCCTCTCTCTCTCTCTCTCTCTCTCTCTCTCTCTCTCTCTGTCTCTCTCTCTCCTACTTAAGTCAGACTCACCCTTTCGGCTTCTATTAGCACGATGGCTATTAAAGCCACATTAAACCTGCTCTGACTATAAATACCAGCACAGGAATCAATCTTAAACACATTTGTCATATCAATATGTTTATAGTCACAATTTGCCCATTAAGCACTTCTGGCCTCCTTGTCATGTCTCATCCCCATCATCAAGCTGATTTCGATGAGTCACTCTTTTCTTCAGTTTTATGCAGAAGCTTTGGGGCCTCTTGGTCATGTTGGCAATTTTCACAGCCAAAACCTCAGAAGCGTGGTCCACATCAAACCGAGCATAAAATCCAATTTATTAGTTTGTTATCGAGGTTTTGGCACATTAATCACTGCCTTGTAAGATGTTTTAATAAGTGACAAAGGTGGTAGAAAAGCCCATCTGTTTGCCCCGAATGCAGAATGAGCTTATCATATTGGGTGCAGATTTATGGGAATGGCACGGGCGAGTGCATAACATCATTACACCTCAAGTAAGAAACAGATGCCCTCATTTGTATACTCTGACCAACATTACATCAGTCTACAAACTGGACAATTCATCATGTCTCCTGTCACAAAGAGTTGGATAGTGATGATTGTATATGGCAAATGACCTTTACTGACCCTGAATAAACAGCTAAAAGTTGATATTAACACTGTAATCTATACTCAACGGCTCAAAGAAGTCTATATATTTTACTCTGAACTTGGATGGGATCATTACTGAGCAAATTATTTGTATGTCCAAAATGGTAACTTTACAGAAGGAAAAACCTACTTTACTTTTCATGTAAGTCAATGGAACCAGACTTTTTTCCAAGTCATTGTGGGTCATTTCTTTTGCTCCATTCATCATGAAATTTACACACAATGTAAAGGGCAACAGGCATTTTCAAATTAGGTCAAAAACTGAAAAATGGAGGTACAAGATTTTCTTCCAACAACAGCAATATGTCTCTTTGTGTGTAGACCCAGCGACTAGTATACTTACAGCACTCTATGGGGTTAGAAGCCACTTGAAGAGACACTGTCCTGCCGTTGGGCTGGTTGATGTGGACGCGGAACACCATCCGGACCCGAGTGTTTTTCCGACCAATGTCAGTCTCGCCCTTCCTCAGCTCAATGTCAGAGTTGCGGAGCTTCAGGATCCCAGCACAATCAATTCTGCAGAGCCGATGTGGGGGGGGACAAAAAAAACTGAGTAATGATGGAGCTGAATTTACCACCCAAGGTCCTATACTCTCTTTCATAGGTAAAATGTACTTTGTGCAATCATTTTGCTGGTTTAGAATGAAAAAGAGGTCATCAGAGAGTGATTGGTTCAGGAATGGGACATGCACTAATCATTAGTGTAAGCCAGGGGTTGGCAACATGCAACTCTTTTACTGCCCTGTTGCGGCTCCACAAAGGAATTAGGTTTGTAGGTAAAAATAAAATAATCCTCCTTTGCAGTAAAATAAAGCTCTGCTGATCGTTCAACACATTTTTAACAAAACTTAAACGCTATAGTTAATGTAGCCTATATCTGCTAATTCTCCCTTTAAGTCAGACTACCTGCCATCATTGATAATTTGAAGATGAACAGACTTATTTGTATATATAAGCACTCTAGCTGGTTTCCTGATACGTTTAATCTGCATTGAGAAACTGTCGAACATTAAAAAGTCACGAGGCTGAAGTCAGATTCTTGTTCCCAGCTTCTAATTCAAATTCTCCTGTTCCACCTTAAACGAAGCAGCAGTAACACCGTGGCACTTTAGGTGCCATTTAAGGTGGAATGGGAACCTGGCGAATGAGAACCTGACTTCGGCCTCGTAAAAAACTGAACGTTGAGAGACATTTTACAAGATACTGTTTCACTTTTGAGGAAAAGTTTCCTGCTGGAGATGTGAGAAATGCAGCTATAGCTGAGCTAAAGCTTAAAGCAGAGCGAAGTAAGTCTGTATTTTTTGTTTATATTATATTTTTAGCCTGTACTAGTACATTAGCACATACTGACACATATTTACAGCCAAGATGGTAAAATGATTGATTTTTGTTCAAATGACGAAATGGCTCTGCTCAACATTTGGGTTGCCCACCCCTGGTTATTATCCCATTTTGTCCCATTTGATCACAAACTATAGAAAGTTCATTGTGGATGTATTGCCTAAACTGGATGAAGGCTATGGAAACACTGCCTGCAGCGACTGTTTGTTATGACTAGCAAGGACTTCAGCCCTCACTCCAACAATGCTGGGCTTTGTTAGAGTGATGCATAACAGATCAAAGTTTCTGTGCCATTCGAACCCTCACGCCCTGGAAGAGGGACTTCCCTTTCCTAGCTTAATTGCCTCCCTGGTGTCGGAGGAGCAAAGGGTCTCTAGCAGCCTTGTCTTTCCAGAGGAGACGTGCATTGGACATCAAGCAGTCGCCGGTCCGGTGTCTGAAGCCAGTCTGATTCTGCTGCCATTCAGGGTCACACTTCTACAAGATCAAACATTTACAGCTCCAGTCCAGTTAACTAATGCCACATTTAGAGGCAAGAATTTTTTCAGCGTCTTCATTACTATTTCTCTCGCACTCCCACTCTTTTTCTGGGGATTTTCCTTCATGGGACTTCTGAGTGGAAAAAGGAATCACTTTTCAGACTGGCCTTTTTAAGAAATTAAATAAAACTTAAGCCTAGCTGGTAAAAGCTTAAGTAGAGAATACATATGGGATATGGCTTGGCATTCCAGTCATTTTACATCGGAGCTTTGGGCAGAATTCCTGGAACTTGGTAAATGTCAAGTTTTACACACATCTATTTTTCCTCCTCTTCGGTCAGTTAAAATTTGAATAAATAGAAAACATAATAAGCACACAAGAACTAGTGTCTGAAGTCAGTTTCAGACAACACATATTTGAGTGAAATATATTATGAGGGCTCTGTTCCCTGGTTTATTGCTACACGGCCAATTGAATCAAGTCATATGAATGTGTCGAAGCAGTTCATACATTTTGACGAAAGTACTTTGTGAAACTAGCTCTTTAAAAAATTCAGCTTGATGGTGTATAAAAGAGAGTAAGAGAGTCAGAGATGAACCGTGTGGGTTGACAGACATTTCCGTGAAAAACTGTCTGGTCTCCTAGCCATCGCACTGCTCTTTCCGCTGTTAGTCCTCGCTCTAAGCAATATAATTAAGAAACAAGGGAAATAATGGGAAAGGAATGACCTCATCTGTCTCAGCAATGGACACTGAACAATTAGGGACACACTTTCCACTGAGCATGCTCATTGGATAAACTGTGGCGCCCTTGAACCTCCCATAGGATACAAATATGGCTTGTTTTCACGTTTGCATTCTATAATCTTGAAAAATCAATACCGCAGTCTACAGTAGTCTCCCACTATGTTACTCAAATCTAGCCTGAATCTGGGTGCATTATTGTACTGCACTGCTCTTAGACACCTACTTCAACTCACCAGCTCAGTAGTTCATGAATTAAATTAGCTGCCTTAGAAGGGAAAATACTACAATCTATGCAGCTGCAAGCATGTAGAGCTGGAGTAGGACTGCCAACGATTAAACTGATCACTTGGAAGAAAAAACAATACAGTGGCAATTTATGCAATGATAATGCATATTTAAACTTCTCCTACGGCTCTCTTACAGTAAGACACAGATTTTGATGGATGCTCATTTATTTGCATAAAGGGTTATAAGTTTATCTTTTTCAGCAAAATATGTTGGGAAAAGAGCTCTGATCACTTGATTAATAATAATGAATAGATTACTTGATTGCTAATATAATCAATAGTGACAACCCGAGACTGGAGTATCAGGAAACCGCTTAATGAGAGCAGCCGCTGGTGTTTCCAATTCATAGATGGACAGAAACAAAGAGACGAACTTAAGAAGAAAGAGCTGGCCCGGGTCTTATCAGCATTAGACTGTTTACGGCTGGATGGAAAGACCACATCAGCAAGTCTCCACGTAGGGCCTGTGCTAAAAATCCCTTAGCCCACACTTTCCTGCCCAAGTCTGGGTCCAGAGAAAACCCCTGACTTACAAACCACTCTGACATTTCAGTGGCACCCCAAGCCACAGTTTATTAGGTCACCTGAACGTGGCTATCTCCCACTTTGTCCTGTATTGGACTATAACTGAGTAAGACAAATTAATAGTTTGGTTTAATCCTCAAGACACGGTCCAGTCAAACTTTTAACACATGTAGATGGTGTTGCATTAGGTGGGGCTCAGATTGAAATGGAAATGTGTGTGCTGGCCAACATTGTTCAACAAAATGCATTTTTGCCTTAGAAAAATTAGACAAAACAAAAAAAAGGAGACTGAGTGAAAGAGGGGGAGCATGGCGTTTGGAGGCGAAGGCGGTTACGTAACCCAGTCTGGGTTTGACGCCTTATTTCTACTAGTCCGAGCTACTGGGACGTGTGCCAGCAGAGCTGTGGAGGAGGGAAGCCAGGCCAGGAGCGCTGCAGGCTGGACAGCCTGCCGAGCACGAGCCCTGGGGATGCTGGAGCTCCAGCTGGGGGGGAGGAGGGGGGGTGCGAGCGTCTATATCTCCTCATATTCACAAGCAGGAAACCTACTAAAGTATGTCTATGAGCCAGGCATGGGCTCGACAGGAGAAGGATGAGGGATGCAGGGACATCCTATGGCGATAGAGGATATCAGGCAGGACACAGGAGCTGTGGACACAGAGAGCCACTCAGGAGGCTTCACTAAGTGGAGTGATAGTGATGTTTATGCAGCTAAACCTCAGGACGGTTCGAGTTAACCCTTAAATGTGTTCATCAATGACTTCATTTCCCTCATCTAGCTCACTCTATTTTTTCAGTCAGGCCCCCACTTGCCTAGTGTTCTTCAACCTTTTTGTTTGGAACCGTTTACCGGTTATAAGATATTAGCAGTTCACTTTTTGTTTGATGGAAAGTCCCAGGTCGCTTAGGACCAAAGGTGTGTATGGACGTTTGGCAAAACATGGATGCATTAAACAATTAAAAAAGGGTTGTAGTGAGAAAGTGTTCTAAGTAAATCACTCACATAGCACGCATGTTGTTCTCCGGCAGCAGTGGTATCTCCAGCACTTTGGTGTTGGACTGCATGGCTTCGTGACTGGCGGTGGAGACGGTCTTGCCAGTGATTCGGTGGACCTGGTAGAAGGCATGTGGCCGCAGGAGCCGGTCGTCTGCCGTGCCGATGAACAGCTGGAGCGTCAAAGGCTCGCTCTCCATGTAACCGTAGAGCTGGCAGCACAACAAAGAAAACCAGGTGAGCCTCTCGAAACCCTACTCAAGAACCCCTCTGTTAAAACTCCATCTCTTTTGACTTATAATTACTTGAGTGCACTGTGGCTTAGGCTTCCTAATGATAGCTTTTAGCCTCAGAGCAGCTCACACACATGCTAGCTGCGCCGTGTTTGTTTCCCCGGTCGGGCTGGAGACAGGGCGCTATAACTTCGGCCCAGTTTGGTCTGGCTAATTGTAAGGAGAGTTCCCTCGAGGGGTTGGGGATTCTCAAAGATGGTTTTGATCTTCTCCGGGAGGTTCTGTGGAAGGCTTCTCCTGGCCACTGTGCTACAGCACACAGGCTGGAGGTTGGCTCCTGTCACTTCACTGTTCATTAAAATTTCGGAGTGGCAATAAAAAGGATGCCCAGGGAGATGCAGGCTTGAAGCAGACACTGACTCAATGGAAAGTGACCATTATCGACATACAACGAGAGACCAAAGTGATTATTTTAAAGTCTGCCCGCAGGAGCCTTGTGTAGTAACTACTGGAGATTACCCAACTAGCTTTTAAAAGGGTTAAACCTATTAAGTCAGCATAACGCTGAGACGTACGATTCTTTTTTGCATCACACTATTAACATTTTAACAGAATAAAATTAAATGTATCAACTCTTTTATTGGGGCACTGTTATGATGCTGTCGTCATCATTTTAGAAAACAATAAATCTGAGGTCATACCAACTCAACACATGCCCTATAAATTTCAGAGAAGCAATGTTGAACACTAATATTTTTTATTTATATATAAAAAAAAAGATTCAGTGCAACAAGCAGCCCAACAAGCAAACTGATGATAATAAAATTAGTAAAAGTTATATATCTGTCTTTTTTTTTCTATGCGTATAAAAAAAAATCACTCAAGGGAAAAAAAAAACTCTTGGGCGTAAAAAATGAACAACTATGCACTCTGTTCCATCTTGCTAGGCTGATGCATTTGAAATTTTCACAAGGACAGCATTTCAGAGCACAAAGCATTAGCATAGCTTGGCGCTAACATGCTGCTAGTCTTCATAACACCACCCTCAGGCTTTTCGACATGGAACGGAACATGCATTATGATTTTCATTACAGCTTGTGATGCTTTGGGCTGGTGCCAGAGACGGTGCCACACTGAGATGAAAGAGGCAAGAGAATCAGAACCCCCACTTCAAACAGGTACCACTTCCTCTCTCACCGGCTACCACTTAGCCCTTCTGCTCTCCAATAAAAAACACTTCAACACAGGCAAGCAGAACAAATGGTCGCTACATGTAGAATGAAACCATTAGTCAATGGTACAGTAAGTGGGAGACACTTACTGAGCAATCAATCCCAACTTGATCCGATGTTCACAAATATAGTGCAGTGTCTACAAATGTTTTTGGGGGAAAAAGGATTTAAATTATCAGAAAAACTATTTAGCATTAGTGTTATATACTTCAAGGAGCCAGTTCCAGTGTATTCCAACAGCTGTGTGGTGGACTAACAGACGAGCAGCCCAAGTGGACTGTGGCTCTGGCGCAGCCAGAAGGGTGGCTTTGGTGTAACCAGATCACCCGGTCTGCATGCTCTGCATGTCCACACCGTGTGTGGGCATCTGGATGCCTCCCCAAAACAATAAAAAGACAACTTTGAGATTGTGTGGAAAACTCAACAGCAGAACCCAAAGCTCTCCAAGGGTAAAGATGGGCATTCAGAACTCAACCCACTTGGGTTTGCTGGCCACATGTTAGATTGCCTTAAAAGCAAATAAGACTGATCTGTCAAAATAAAGTCCATGTGGTAAAGCCAACTGCTTGCACTCATCATTTAAAGAATGAGTATAATTTCAGGTCCCTGCCTTGTGAAGTTTCATTCAGTGACCGAGTCAAGATGGTAAGATGTCAAACTAAATAATAGAAGCCATGCTTATTTAAGCAATTGAGTCATCTAACAGAATGCAGACCACATGTAACCTATGACATAATCTGATTAATGCTTTTATAATTACTTCTGTGAGGGTGGCTGGGGGGGGATTGTGGGAGTTTTGTGGGGACCGGACCAATATAGGAGGGAGAGAGAGAGGCGTCATTGGAAATTTTAGTCCAGTGCAATCACTTTCTGCGACACGCTCACTGAAAAATTGCTCAAAATCATGATGCTGACTGTTACATCACAGGGAATTAGACAGAAGTAAGTTCAACGAAGCCAATTTATCTGCTCATTTCTTGCTCAGTCCACTACATTTGATAGACTGACAGGACCAATGAGTATACATTTTCTCTTTCCAAGCATAACGTATTAGTTAAGAAGACTAGAATAAAGGTATGCGAGACTAATTGCACAATAAAATTCTTTACCAAACTCTTTTTCCAAGCACCATCTCCTGAACTTTCTGCACAAGAATGACAGAATTTCAAGCCAGTGAAAGTTGGCTAATGATCTATCCGCGTTCCCAGCTTTTTTTTCCTCCTTATAGAGTCTCGCAGCTGTCCTGACCCTGAGCACTAGTCACATATGCTTGTCATCAATGAGGCACGTCGGGGTCAGGGGCTTCTTGAAGTCCCGGTCTCTCTAGAGAGCACTTCATCTCCAAGGTGATCTCACCAGAGCGCTCGCTCCGCTTTATTATATTTTACTCACTGTGTCACCGCAGCTAATTAGCTTCAGGCCTGTGCGCTACTAAGCTCGTATGGACAAGTGGAAAAAATGGGGAAAATGTTGCATTCCCATTTTTTATTGACTTGATCATGAGGTCTAATCAGAAAATGGCCCGCTCAAGATGTGCCGACCAACAGACCCTTTTTGCTTCCACACTATATGGTTATACTTTTCAGCTCCATTTATACTACGGCACCATATCCTTTGTGCTTTGCTGCAACTTAGATCGCTTTCATTTGACCAGGCATTACCTCAGCTTTCATGTGTCTGTGGGAGGGTTACGACGGGAGACACGGCGCGGGCAGTTTTTGCACTTGCAGGTCTAGCGGTTTAGGACGATGGAGATGGCCGGCTTTACTCAACGTGAGAGTGACCTCACGCACGATGGGAAGTGATTAATGAGGTCAGGGAACTCACAGTGACGCTGGTCTTCCCGACACTAAAGGAACGTGGTTTGTCCCCCTTGGGCGACCTCACTAGATTCATTCACCATATGTGCTCCCCTGAAACCCCCTTCTCCCAGTCCACCTCCGTCCGTACACATGGAAACGCTGTCCAAAACGGCAGACTTAAACAGCAGCCTAAACTTTCACTTCTCTCTCATCAAGGTAAAGAGGAATGGACAGCTCTTGGGCGTGCTGACAGAGTTCTGCCTGTTGTCTGCTATTTTGCATGAGAGTTAGTGAGTGTCAGCCTGCGGCAGAGCCAAATACCTCCAACAGCTGATGACTCTTTCTAATTTATAAATCAGCAGAATTAACCGGGAAATGTAGTCTTATTCCTCATATGATGACATATGCAATATGTCACTCTAATGGCGCTCTGCAGCTGAGTTCCAACAGTAGCACGCCTTGTAGGTATTAGTGAAATGTCCTCGCTGGAAACACATCAGTCCTGTTAGGCTGTGCAGCTCCAGGATTTGCAATTGGCACATTTGTTTAAGGAAATGAGAGGCTGATGAGTGGTCTCGTCTGAGAGTGAGACCAGACTAAGTGCCTGCTTTGGAACTCTCTCTGTCTCTATTAACCCTCCATCTTTTTCTCTTTCTTCCTCTTTATTGCCCCTCTTTATCTATCTGTGTATCACTCACTCTCTCCTGCTCTCCTTTCTCTTTATTTCTCTCTTTCCAACTCTTCATTGTGGCAAGCAGGAATGTCATGACTGGTCTAGTCCACGTGGCGTAGAGAGGGGGAGCAGGGGAGAGGGAGAGAGGGAGCGAGGGAGCGGAGGAAGGGGGAGTAGACCTCGGCCCATTATCACATTCACTCCCAAGCGCTGACAGTCACCCGGCGAGGCCTCTCTGTACCAAATTAAATCTACACTCATCCAAGTCGTCTCTCTTCTGTTCCAAAGCCCCCTTTATTAGCTCTCCAGTGCTCCACAGCTTTTGCGCCGCATATGTGTGCGTCGCTTTATTGTGTTTGGCTGCATCCGTAACCAGAGGCACTTTTCTGGTACTCGGCAGAGCGACTGCAGTCCGTGCTGGGTATTAAAACACGAATCGAATATTATGTCATCAAGGGCCAACGTTTGGTGCGCAGGCCCCATGTCTAGACCAGTGATCATAGAGCTCTAAGCTCCATATAAACCGATGCCTTTAAAACAACTGCTTAGAACCCAAACGCCTTGCCAAAGGCTACACTCTGACGTATGCAGGATTCCAGTGCTCCGTGATCTAAACGACGGCCACCGAAGCCTTACCTCATAAATCTGCGGTCCTCACCTCAAACCAACGAAAATGTTGCCGTTGTGTAGCATTCTTCATGTTACTCTATGGCTGCAATTAGTGGTTTCCCAATACCAAGGTCCTGAGTAAGGGGAGCCCCTCAAAGAAAAGGAAACCTGGGCAGGGGTGTTTAATGGAGCTTTACATAATAAACATGAGACATTAATTATTTGCAACATGATACTTAGGCCTCTTCACCTCTTTAAATATGAGATTTTAATAAAAATAGCATAGCAACTGCCTGTGAAAATGAAATAAAGATGTGATGAACATTTGGGGGGGGCGGTTTCAGAGGGGATGCTAGATGCAGAGGAGATGTTTTCCACAGAGGAAACAGTTTATAAAAGATAAATAATACATAAAAATGTATTAAAGCTAGCAAAAACATAATAGCTTAATTAGCCCCTATTGGCCCTCATTCATTAATAACATCATTAATATTTTAGGCTGAATTATTTCTTTAGTAGCATGTTACAAGTGTGCAGATGCCCAAAGTGCCAAACATTTTACAACATTTAAAACAAACCCCTAAATCGTGGTCACACCAGACTGTCGCCTCCCTATTTTCTTTCAGGCAAAAATCAGTTAACCCCTTAAAATCCCAGTCTTACTACACACTAAGACTTGCTATTCAGTGACTAGAAGGACGTCAATGCAAACTGTCTTTTTCTTAGGTTGTATAAATGTACGATAAAGCTCCGGTGGACCCTGGCCTTCTACGGGGTTAAGCAGTATCTACTGCATCATTGCCTTATGGCATTGGTTTTCTAAAGGAACATAACTAGCCTTAAAATCTAAGGCTGACTCTGTAAACTAAATCATGCACAGACATGGTTTACCAAGTTTAAGCAATGCCAGTTAAAGCCAACAGAGTAAATGAAGACATACGCTGCTATAAGACTTAAAACATAACGGGTCATGTCCCAGGCCTTTACCCTTCACGGGAACATAATTCCATGTAATTCAGTGCTGGCAAATTCATTTGATATCAGTTTCAAATTGATGGAAAACCCATCAATCCTGACGGGGTCTTTCACCCAAAGGTAGACTTTGACATTTCCCCTAGAATGTCTTTGGAAAACCATCGTGTACATGCTGGCCATGGCCGTGGTGCGGCGACATGCCTAACCCGCAGACAGTGGGGATGGGGGGGCATCCCCCCCTAATGGCAGTGCGGTCGGCAGCAGCTAGTAAAGTGGAAAAACGGCTAAAGGGGTCAGCTGCCTCAATCGCGAGCCAGACGGACAAACGATAGCAACCAAAAACAAGAGTTGAGGAAAGGAGAGATCAAGAAAGCTGTAGGAAAGCACACACAGTGCAGCCCAGTGGGAACAGTCAATGGACAAGTTCACAGACCACTGCGCTTCATAAGTGGAGAAATTTCCACCATCATGGGGCATCTTTTCAACCCCCTTACCCCTCCTCTCGGAAGCCTTGGTCCCCAGTCCGCCAGTGGGGCGGTGTGGTGGAGAGGGAGAGTGATGTCAGCTCTACGAAAGGAACTTTCCGAAACAAAGGGGAGCCTGTGTGTTTGGCAGCAGCCGTGGAAGGGGTTAGAAAAACACCTTCGTTCATTACGGCAGTGCTGCAGAATCGCAATGATAACTAATGAGCACGCTAGCGGCGGAGAAACAGTAGACCGGGCCGGGAGAGGGTAGTCGACCTTTTCAGTTAAGCTCCAGCTGTCTGTACGTTCGCAAGTTAACTACTGGTACACAGTGACTGCATCGGAAGTGGAAGACTGACACAGCTCAGTTTGGCAAGCGAAGGGTGATAGCATTGGAGGAAAACATCTAATTGTGATTTTTCTGTCTAATATTGCGACTGCGATTTAAATAGCATTTTTTTTAATTAAGTGTTTTTGCCAAGAAGACCAGAATATCCACTTTTTCTGGCTGAAGGCTTGACCCCTGAATGTAGTGTGCTAGACAGCCATTAAGTTGTGGTTATGAGGTCACAACACATGGATGTTTGGTTGCCTTTGATTGACCTAACTCATCTATAGACAGTTCACAACAAGCTCTGTGTTACTAGGTAAAAATTTCCACACTTATTAAACTAGATATCGTTTTTGATAATCTATGCTATAATTTTTTTGCGATTTGAAAATTGTACTCTTATAAATTGCGATTTCGATACAAAACGATTAATCTTTCAGCCCTAGTGGTAGCTGTGATGGTGGCTTTGTTTGCGTTGCCTTATTTTGGTGGTGCTACTCTCCAGTTTCGGGAAAACTGTGTTGTTGCCCGAATAGTGCATGACAGGAAAACAGTGCTGTATTTTGGAGTGAGCTGTCAGCACAAGGACTGACCTGGGAGTGCTTTTGAGGGATGAGTGCCTCACCAGAAATGACATCAGCAGTGAAGCGAGCTGCCCTGGAGTCCTGGCTTGGTGGCATCAGATGGGCTGCGGGACTCCTAACCCAACCCCCCCCCCGCCCCCCAACCTGCCCAGTTCCCCTGCGGGGCACCACTGGGGCCCAGGGTCCTTAATCAGCAGGAAGCAGAGGGTCCCCGAGGGTGGCAACCCTGCTGAGCCCCAGCTGCCTGCATGATGACTCCCCATGCCCCACACCCCTTCCCCCACACCACCATTCTCCATGGCTGCACCCAGCCGTCCAGAGCCTCCTCTCTGTTACTGCCTTACACTCTCGTAAACATAGAGGTTCCTGAACCATTCTTGGCTTGGATGTACGGTTAAAGAAGAAAAAAAGCTTAACCTCTTAAAATCCCAGGCTTATTATATCCTAGAGGTTATTATTCAGTAACTAAAAGGACTACAATGCAAACTAAATAAAAAGTTTGGACCCACCAGCAAATGGTGTAGGAATTTTACATTATGTGGAGATTCTTTACATTTTAAAAAGGTTCTTCGCACTCACGTATCTGATTTACAGAAATGCTTCCATCCACTGAAAGGGTCTTTAGGGTTCCCAAAACGATTCTTCTTTGACACATTTCTTCTTAAGAGTGCAGACTTGGCAACCTCAAGGATCCATAATCTGAACGCAGAGAGCTCTCAGCACTGGATCATTCACTCCGAGCGCTGACAAGAGTGCGTGACTAAGCTGAAACTTGTCTTTCCCCGAGCGCAGCTCTCTCAGTAGAGAGGACTGCCTAACCCGAACCGAGAGAGAGCCCGGCAGCAAGCCACCGCCGTCTGGCCGCAAGGAGAGATCCCGCTTGGCTCACTCTGCAGAAGCTGCAGGCTGAAGAAAGTCCTTCAGATTATACACTCAAGGTGCAATGGCTAAGGCATTAAATCACAGTGAAGAAAAGTAAAAGTTAAAATATGTTAACAACGTGAGCGTGACAGAAGAAGTGCGTCACTGAAGTTTGTGCTTTTGCCTCATTTCCTGTGAGGAACAACTATTTTTTTTGCACATGGGAATATGGTGAAAAAATAAATAAATAACCACCGCACTGGAGCCAGGTGCAGTAATGGGACCATAAGGGGAAAACATCAAGGTATGACCGCTGATCTATGAACAGCTCCCCCTGTACATACTGCAATAATTAGAATACGAAAGGCAGAAACTGATGCTAGATTAGTACTGTAACTCATGGATGTGGTGTATATGGACCTCAACTACTGGGGACGAGAAGACGTCAGGGGACTGAAAATAAACATACATCTGTGGCTGGTTAGTCTTCACTCAAAACAGCTCAAATCAAGGGTTGGCAAAGGCTGGAAGTTTTTTTTTTTAATATAAAAACGATAAACATGCTTGAAATAAAAGTAGAAGAGACAAATTAGCATCACACAGATGAACTCATGCTAAGTGAAGCCTACTAGTTTTCATTTTTTGGTCAACACTCCTGTTTTTGCTCCCGCAGACCACCACTGACTGCAGCAGTGCAGAATGAGTGATGGAGTGGCACAAGCTCACACAGGTCCAGCTCAGAATGCCAAGAGCATGACAGGCCAGGCCCCTGAGCCTCTTCGCCTGTGTTAACAAATTCACCTTCAGCATTGAGACATGACTTTTGGTGGGGAGGAAATGGCTTATAAATAACACCTGAGAGTTGATGAATTAGGTTTGAAACTGGCTGGCTAACAGCAGCTGTGCTGAGAAGTGAAAGTGCCCGTGTCTGATTGGAGAGAAAATAAGCGTTTGGAAAACAGCTGCAAAGCCTCTACTGCTGCCTTTACCGAGAGACGGCAGCATCGCAGCAGCGTTTTTACGTCCAAATATATTACATTATTGATTTCATGCTTACACACACGTCACTCACAACCACATAAACACACACAGATAGACAGCAGTGCTCTTTCCACCTTAAGTAAACCAAGAGTAGAATTAAGGGAGCAAGTTTGGTTGAGAGAGAGAGAGAGAGAGAGAGAGAGAGAAAGAACAAGAGAGGGAAAGAGCAAGTAAGAGAAAGAAAGAGTGTTCTGGTTTAAGTAACGCAGGTGAGAGTGACGTGGGCTCTTTAAGAGCTGCCAAGCACAATACTGAGAGGTGGTGCTCTCTCGCCATGCTAATTGCGTCAATATGCGGCACCGCAATTCACTTTTACCACGTGCTGTAGACGATTGACTTCGGCCTTCATGGGCCATTAATAACACCCACACACACACACACACACACCACCATGTCACTCACAAGAACACACTGTCTTTTTTCCTCGCTTTCTCTCTCTTTCTGTCACTCTCAGACACACACCTGTTCTTATTGAGAGTTCAGGTGGTCAGGAAGCAAAAACAGCCCTGTTTGACAAAGTCGAGACTTTTTCTAAATAATGAACAAGGTGGCAGTTATACGCTGTGTTTCTTCAGAGGACAGACACTGCAGTAATACCCCTGAACAAAAAGAGAGCTAATTCCAGTTACTTACTGGTCTTGATTCACTGGGAAGGGATTGCAGACTTTTAAGATTACCATGTCTTTTAAATTAGTCTTCTAAACCCTTTTACTTATTTCCCAGCAAAGGCTTTTTACTGCAGGATGCATTGCCACAGATGGCACATGGCAAATCTGGGATTCAAACCTACTTTTACTGCATTTACCTGCAAAGGATCAAATTCCACAAGAAGCCTTGATCAAATATTTTATTAAATATATTTACCCAAATACAAATGCTAACAAGTAACAGTATAGAAATGGGTTCTTGGACATGGATTAAACCTAGTCTTGGACTAAATCACAAGGCCAATGGTGCTTCACCATTAAAAAAAATCTATTTAGTCTAGTCTTTAGTTTAATTTGGCCTTGAGAAAGTAGTCAAATATGAAAAAAACAGCCTTACTTCACTTTCTTAATAACCTTAGGTAAACATGTTTAAATCTTCCACCAGCACGCTTACTTTGGTCATAGTAAAATGTGTGAGCATGTAGTAGGATTTTCTACCACTGTATAAAAAATGCACAAGGCTGCCTTTATTGCTGGATGCACTGTGATAAATGGAGAAGAGTAGATTAAACAGCAGAAAAGCAAGACAAGACATTTTTGGCCTTAAAGGGTTTAATCAGGATTTCTGAAACATTCCTTAATGTCAAAAAGACCATTCAAAGCTTGTTCCAGCAGCAGCGTTAATGGTGTTTATAAGGATGAGGTACCTGCACCACGGGGTGTCCTCCCGACAAGGCTTTCACTGCCCCTCGGCTGCCCTCCGTCTCGTAGTGTGCGCGGTGGTGGGATTTGGGCTGCACTTCAATCTGCAGGCTGTACGGGCCCGAGCAGGACTGCAGCTGCCAATCAAGAGCCGGCAGGGACGGGCTGCCAATCAGAGGACAGAGCGGTTTGTTAAGATTTACGGATCGCACACATACACACACAGTCTTGCATGCATTAATCAAAGTACTAAAAACCAGACTTTGTCCCTGCTCTGGCAACCGTTTGTATTTGAGCCCCTCCATTTCATCACTGCTTCTAATCTAATCAATAGAAGTCACAGCCTGACATACTTTATTTCCAAAGCCTGGCTACTAATTGCAGACCTTCCTTCAGAAGAATTAATGAAGGAGGCATGTGTTCCACTTGGACCACTCCATGCTTTCTATCATAGTCTGACAGCTCATCAGAGTAAGACTCCATAAAAAGCAGCCAGGGGTGAATGTTGTTATGCAATGAAATTATATATTAGAAAAATATCACAGACTGTTATTAAAGCTCCACCTTCTTTTGGGGGGAGTAAGTGAGAGTGACAGCAGTGAGTTTTGTTTTGTTTTTGTCTCAGTGTCGCCACGGTCCTGAGAGAGCAGCTGGAGAACAGATTCCCACATGAGCCGCATGGTTATCCAGCGCAAACACGCGCCAGCGGAACGATATTTCACTGCGTCCGGATGCCTGCCCGACACGGAGCTTGCGACCTAGCGGCTCAAGTGGCAGCAATCTCAGGCATCCTCTCGGAACTTTCTGCGTGTTCGCTGACCTGACGCGAACTGGCTTCCCTCGCGCTTTTGTCGGCCGCGTCTGTGCATGACCTCGCGAACGGGTCTGAGAGAAGAGGAGGAGCTGGAGAACCTACAGCCAGCACAATCAGCACTGACACCATCACTTCCTGTTCCCCACTATCACCATCAAACACTTGATTTCCGGCAGGAAAATGTGCCAGCGAAGGAAAGCACACACTCATACTGACCACAGGGGGACCCTGAGGTCGGTTAAAAATGGGAAAGAAAACAAAATAATAAAATGTTGTGTGTTTGAAGGTTGCTATGGGAACTGGGCTGTACACAGTACACACACATAATCCATTGTGCCACCCTTTGGAACATGATTTATGGAATGTTACTGAACTTCAGAGAGAAGCTTTTTGTCTTTATACATTCAGCAACAGGCTGTCTTTGGCTGCTACCACTGTGGACTTTGAGGATGCAAAGTAAATTTACTTTTATGTTAAATAAACAAGTATTATTTTAGGACACAAAAAAAAAACACATTCACTGTTGAAAAACATGCAGCACATAATTTTACATTTTTCATTTTCCATTTGGAGACTTCATAGAAAGTCATAAATCATTAGAAATGTGGACCTACTTTCTTGATCAAAACGTCCCTCCAAAAGTGGCCATGTGCATGAATATAACAAGTCTATAAATCAGCATTACGAAAGACAAACATTTGAATGTGATCCAGACGGCCAACTGTAGCACTGGAGAGATGGATTTCTACTACAGCCTGCTTGCACAAAACTAGGGGCGGGTGATCTGATGATATGTCTGCATACATAACAATTCACTTTTCTAAGCACATTGTAGGTATCGTCAGTACTTCTAGCACAACTTCATGCTTCTTAAAAATAGAGATTTAGACAACCAGGGCCTGTAAACAACAAGCGGTACTGTCACACTGATAATTTAAAACTGGACAGTAGCAAGGAGCCAATTAGAAACACAATACGCCATTATTTTATTTCCTTTTTTTGACCAATTATGTTCAACTAAAAAAATTAATTATACTGATTTAATTACACATATATTAAGGATGTAACAATACGATGTATTATATTGTTTCACACTAGTATATCGTGGTTACTGTGATAGTTTGTGGCTAGCGTGTTAGCTCATGGCTGACATTAGAAATCATGAATTTTGTGAATATATTATAATTCTGCATTACTCTAGATTTATACTAGCAAATAGAAAAAAACAACTGAATATCGTGATACTCAACTATCACCGTGTTTCCATAGGCTAGCATTAAAAAATCCCGTTAGACTCTTTATGAATATGCTGCACCATTTGTTAACATACCTGATGTAAGGCTTGGGCTTGGGCCAGGAGTAAGGGTGTGGGGGCACATCCAGGAAGCCTGGACAGTAGCTTTCCTTCTTGAAAGGCAGTCGGTTGGTGCTGGAGTAGTCCTCCTGGCAGAGGTCTGTGCTCACGGCCATGTCGTCTCCCCCAGGCTCCACCTTCAGGCTCATGGCAGGACTGTGCTCCAGGTTAGTTTTACGGGATTTGGGAGGGACATCTCCGAGGTCGGCTAGGCCGTCTGTGCTGAGGGCGTTGATGGCAGCTACGATGGCTGAGTTGGTGTACTGGTTGGTGGTGGTGCCCAGCCAAGTCTCGTCGGCACAGCTGAGTCTGGGCGAGCCTTGAGGCGAGGCGCCGGGCGACTGGTTGGGCGAATATGAAGGCTGCCTGTAGGGGGCGCCGTTGAAACTGTATTTCCGCTTACCGTGGCTACCGACGCTGCAGATTGGTGAGCTGGGGCGGGAATTGCGAGGAGCAGCCCCAGTCCAGCTGTCGTCATTGGCTACAGTGGCATGGGGAGAAGTGGAGGGCGAGTGGTTGGGGGAGGGGACAGAGCCTGGGGCATGAGGGCAGGAGAGCAAGGAGGAAGATCCTTTAGGCGAGACGCAGGGAGACTGCCAGGGGGAGTTTTGGGGTGAGTTGTCGTAGTTGTAGAAGCCCGACTCATATGAGGCCTCCGAGTTGCAGCTGCGAGAGGACAGGCTGCTGGCTGGACTCAAACAGCTGGGGTCACGGTAGCCATCGACGCTGGGGAGGGTCAAGGTCACAATGTTGACCCGCTTGGCCATGGGGTCAACGCTTCCAATCTCCTCCACCTCCTCTTCAGACATCTGGCCATAAGTAGTGATTTCGATGCGGGGGCTCTCCAGAGGAGGAGCCCCATTGGGCCTGAGCCCGTGGGACAAATAATAACCTGGGCCCATGGCATTCTCATGGAGACCGTAGCTCGCCTGGTGGCAAGAGGAGACAGAGATGACAGGGCTGGTCTGCAGGTTGTGGTACTGAGACGCCAGGCAGGGGTTACCCATTCCCAGAGGCAGAGACAGGCTCACGTTGGGCGTGTAGCTAAAAGCCTCTGCAAATACAAAAGAAGGAGATGTAAGTGAGAGCACTTAAATTTAAATCAAAAAGAAAAAGAATACCCAAGGCCTGTATGTGGGTCCACACTTCAGTTCCGCACTCTCATAACTTACATTTTAATTTAAAGCTAGTTACCTAACAGTTCATAGCTGTTACTGAATAATAAGCTATAAGATTAATGACTGAATCTAAGACTTAATATATGCCGGACCAAGAAGCTACTGAAGCTAATGAACCTTAATCACATTTATTGTTACAAACAATGAAAAAACCTTCGTTTTGTCAATGTATTCTGTAACAAAAAAACGAATAAAACTGTAAATATACCAAATTAAATTTAATTTATATTTAAATTAAATATACCAAATTAAAAAAGTAAGCATACAATTTTGTCAACAGAGTCAAAAGACATGCCAAACCAGCTCATCTAGAACCATGGCAGTGACAGATAAGTCCTATTACAGACTGAATTAGTACTACATAAGTAAAGCTGATAGTAATCCATGACCCCGAATGACTTTGATGCCTTGATGTAATAACCTACATCAAGGTTACTCAGTTCTAACATTTATGTCCAGATAAACTTAAAGTATAAAGTAGAAGTCAAACATTAGCCCCAGATGAATTAAATCATTATTGTATTGCTTTCCTTTAAACACACTCATTCAATTTTCTAAAGAAAACACTGCTCTGGCTTTAAGCAGTGAAGCATTTTTTTGCGGCAGTCCCCTCCACCTCGTTCTATATTTGCTAACCGCAGCGGTACGCAAACAGGACACCACGTGAAACGATGAACCTGCCTTGCACTGCTGAATGCGTGGGTAGACCAGCTAAAATTAGTTCATGACAGACTATTTCCAGAAGCAGATGCACCCGAGATTAAAATCTTGAATAGGTTTTGTGGTTAAACAGAACTTCTGCATTTTTAATTTCAAGTGGCAAAACCATTTTAACAGCAAAAAGAGTGAAATTTTCAAAAGAAACAAAAAAAGAACAATCGTTTTTTTCCATATTTTCTTTCTCATCTCCTTTTCTGTCTCTCTCTGCTGTCAGAGCCCAGCAGTATTAGTCAAACAGCTGTTTTCTCCATTTGTAATTTAACAAACTTAACGGAATATTACGTTTTAAGAAAAAGGAAAACAGGAATGTAGATTGACAGTTTAAAATGTTTTTAAAAGGCAAAAAGACAACTACTGCACAAGTAATGCTGGAGTACATACAGTATGGCATGAAAAGTACTACACACTTATGACCTAAATGCCACCCGGAATAAATTAGTAGCATCCTGATGCAGAGCGTACGTCATTCTCACTTACTACAATCAGGCAACCCACACAGGCATTCAAGAATGTTAATGGATACCAAATCGAAGAGTCAGTCTTTAGCAAGTTAAAGGTGAAAAGTTTCCAAATTCCAAAGTTAAATACAACAACATACAGAAAACACTACAGTACACAATATAATAATACAAGAGCCTGTTTAAATTCGGAACCTCGAATAATAAACACCACTCAGAGACTCTATGCGCACACATTCCACCTGCCGACACACCTCTCTCCGTCTCTGTCTCTCCTCCTCGGCTGCTGTACTCAAACAGAAAGCTGAAATCAAACTCGGGCTCTTTTTGGCCGGATCCCATCTTCGTCTCTGGGACGATGTGTAAAAGCTGCTGTCTATTAGCCACTCTGTGAGTGGAGCAGCAGCTTTGACATCCTGTTCACAAACACCAGCTCTTATCTCTTCCTCACTCATGTGATACCTCAGTGATGCTGCCGCCTCTTTCGGAGGGTTTCCTTAAATCGGATCCGCCCCTCGCTAGTTTCTTTTCTCTGTTGTGCACTGTGATTCACTCGTGGCACAGGCAGCGGCAGTTAGCTCTACTTACGCTGCACAAACAAGCACACAGGGGCTTTCTCCCGGCAAACCTCAGACTCGTTTGCATTTTCAGGCTCAGTGGAGCCGAGCCGTAGGGGCTGTTGGAAAGGGAAGTGATCATCCGCCGGCTACTCGTTCATCCAGCACACGGTCGAATGTACGGCAAAACAAAGGAGAAGTAGCTCCTAGAGTTGGACTTTTGCTGTATGCAAAGTAGGGGTGGACGATATGGGTAAATTATAGCATCACAATACCTGAGAGCATCTTCATGATACACAATACATATCACACTATTTCAGGTTTTTCAGGTTTGGAAGTCGATGCACCACATTCAAAAATGTTATGTCACCTACTGCACTAATTTAAATCCAACTGAACAGGACACATTGTGCTCTTTTTGATGAAATGTAGTTGCTGTTATAAAGTACTGATGATTTTTCTCTGCCAGCAAATTGTGATATATTTTTTTATGATAATGATAAAATTTCATCATATTGCCCACTACTAGAGATATGGCATTACAATACTTGAAAGGATGATGAAGTTGATGACGACACAATGCACCAGCAAAACAGTATTTTTTTCAGCACAATGTGAGTAGTAGAATAGCAGAAATACTGTACTGTATTTACAATACAGTGTTGCCAGAATAATAGAAACATTGCATTGTATTAAAAATTAATAATCATACTTCAGTAACAGTCAAGTGTTGCTTTGAAAAGAAACTATTAATTAAAACTTTACATTAATAAGGTCCTCCTTGATGTCATCCACTCTAGGTTATGTCATTGGTACTATTTAGCTACTACATTATTTTACGTAAGACCATATTTTATAGTGATATTACCAAACTTTAGCCAATGGAACAGTATCTATGATGCTGGGCAGACCAGTTCAAAAGGGATGACCACCACAGTCACTGTCGCGTTAGCTATCATGGCGGTCACAGTTAACGTATTTAGACTTAATCTGATTTATTGCAAACAGGCTTGTTAAAAGGGAAGATGAATGCAAAAAAATTCTCCAAAGCAACTGGCCACTTGGGTCACAAGCTCTGCAATTTTAGGGGCCAAAATGTGAAAGGTTGTGACCAGAGGCACCAGACAAGAGGCAGTATCTACCACTGTAAAAGCTTAACAGGCTAACATCCAATCAGCTTCTTGTTAATTTGCAGGTTTAATCTGACAGTGTGACATCACTGGCTGGTGCTGTTGAAATGCTCTCCACTATTGGTCTAAATCTAAAGTTTTTTTGAAGCATGCAACTGACCTGCAGTGCACCCAGAAAAGTGTTTCATAGTGTTATTTATCACGCATTAAATTAGAATTATATTTATTTAAGATGGAAACAGAGTCATTTAGAGTGGGTTTGGTGTGAAATAGTGCCTTATAGACAAATTCATAGGAACCAGGGGTTGTAATGTCTACAACACAAATATAGCCATTTTATTTACTATTCGAAACCACCAGTGAACCTACAAGTGTTTATATATCACTGTTGTCGGAAGAAAACTTCTCCAGAATGGTAAATTTATAGGAGAAAGAAAAAACATACTTTACTTTTAATGTAAGTCAATGGAACCAGACTTTTTTCCAAGTCATTTTGGGCCGTTTCTTTTAGTCCATTCATCATGAAATCTACACACAGTGTAAAGGGTAACAGGTATTTTCAAATTATGTCAAAAACTGAAAAATGGAGATACGAGGTTTTCTTCCAAGAACAACGATATGTAATGTTGCTAATGGTAAAATAGTGGTAAGTCTAAAAAAATAAGCTTTCTTTAGGGACTACTTTGTCTTGCAACACCCTTCATGTAACTCTCCGCCATAATAATTTTTAAAATACATAGGGTTATAAGTTATTTCAGAACTATCATAAAGCAATGCCACAGGCATCAGGCAACATATCCGCACACATTTCATGTGATAACTTTCTCTGAAGTAGCGCATTAAGCTCTGGAGGTCTGGTTCCTATCCCCACCACTGTGAACAATTCTAAATTCTCTACAACAGTTAATTTCACTTAAAAAATTGTTCACATCTTAACAATCTAATCATGCAGAAAATTAGAAAAATCAATGGAATTCCCCTTTAACACATCGTCATATTGCCTAACCCTAATGCAAAGTGGACCCTGTCCACGTGTGTAGCTCAGAGAAAGAACAGCAGGTTTTTATACTCACCCGCAAGCGCACAGGCCGGCCTGGCTAATTGTGTGTCTGGGTGAATTGTGGGTAGCAGGCACCACAGAGGGAGAGACAAGGGTTTGGGTTGAAAAAAAGGAGGGAAGAGGGGTACAAAAACTGCAGCCGTCAGCAGCCTGAAGCGGTGGTGAGGCGACACACACACACGCAGACATACTCCAACCAACCCCAACACCCGTGAGTCTGCTATCAATTATGAGGCTTAAATGCCATGGACTGAAATGAATAATAATGCTCTCCTCACCACAGTAATACACTCCCCAAAACCACACAGACAGACAGAAGTCGGCAGAAAGTCCATGACATCAGCGCTGGGGCCCACTGCCTACTGGATTAAGTGGGTGAGACACAGATTTGGTTGTTGATGCGAGATCAGGAACAGGTTCGCTATGTTCCCTTTAGGGGTGGGCGATACAACAACATGTTTTCATGATTAATTATGTCACAATACGCTTTTCCTTGGATATCATGCATGTCGTCAGCGTTTCCGGAGCACTCAACGACTGCATGTAAAATAAAAAGACAGATTAGGATTAGGGATGCTCCGATATGGGAATTGTATGCTGATGCCACAATCCAATATTTTTATGTACATATGTGGCAATGTTGATGCTGATGCTGATACACAAACATGTATAAAATGTAGAAATTGGGACTTCATTAATTCTAATTTTTTTGTGATGCTTGGATTAGCATTATAGAACAATGTTACAGTTATTTTTAGAGGATTACAAATGCAGTAAAGTGAACTTAAAGCACACAGTTTGGAGCGGTAACTGCTCCATACGATTCAATCAAACCAATTTTATGAGGATACTGATATGATTTCCGTATCATCAGGAATCCCTAATTTAGACCAATTATAGACCATCTGTAAACAGCAACAACCAGTATAAAGCAAACTGCATAGTAACACGTAGCTGACTGGAGGCCAGCCTGTTATGACATCGTCATGTTTTATTGTTTATTTATTTATTTTACCAATTGTTAGATATTTCATCAATACGTCACTTTTGGAAATGTTTACTGCAAAAAAGCACTCGATTTTCCGCAGACGTTTGGCACCGGAGCCCTCTGTCCGTTCCAATTTGTTTGCAAAATCTCAAAAAAAAACCAAACAAAAACAAAGAATATCATGTTCAGTAAAAAGTATCATGATGCCATATCTTCACCACATCACCCACCACGCTGAGCTTTCATCCCTCCATTGATAAATGATGTGAGATGAAGTATGTTACCCTCATCCCAACCAGGAGGAGAAACATTTGACAATGTAATTGAGGCAGCAGTATTGCAGCATATTGATGCAACTACCGTGGACTGTATGTAGGCTTTTCTATTTGTGGCAATGGCAGGTGCGCTACAATGCTATAAACAAAAGAGAAGTGTTAAAATTGACTGCTTGTGGTTTCAGGGGGAAAATTTCAGTTTTCCATGACAGACAGTGAGAGTTCAATTTATTAACAAGTAACACTGCGAGGCTTGATCACATGGCAGACGTCTAGGATGACAATGTGCACACTGTTAGAATTCTCTTCTGTTCTGTTTCATTCATTTCTGTTGCACTGTATTCCGTTCTGTGTTGTTCTACTATATCATCTGTTTACACATGACATATCAGTATCAGTGGTTACCAGTATCGGATTCATATGCAGAAAAGACTGAATTGATACTGGAGGGAAAAAAGAAAGAATCCAATCCAGTCTTGTAACAGATTAGGCCTAAAATAGCTGATAGAAATGTCATGTTGTTGGCTCTGTATTTCCTCCTGTAGGGCTGAACAGCGTCTCAGTGGTTTGAGTCGACTTCTAGATGCTCATTTTAAGTGATTTAGCTCATTTTAAAGCATAGAGGTTCTTAAAGCAAAAATATCAGCTCATGCTCAAGATTTCAGCATCGATATCGGAAAAGAAACTGTGGTATCGCCCCATCTCTTCTGTTCTATTATCATACATTCTCACTTTCAGTCTATTCTGTTCTTTTTCCATTCCATTCTGTTCCATTCAGCCCTGCTCTATTCTAACACTACACACTTAAAAAAGATGGTTCTTCAGTTGTTCTTTAGTTAAGGCAAGTATAAAGCAACAAAAAGGCTTCTGCTGTTGGTATAATATTAATATAAGCTTGTAACAATAAACGAACCCTTTCTATGCAGAAACCATACACAACACATTCTCCATCAATGTGAAGCACCATTTCACCATGCAAAGAACCAAGCACCAAGTACCTTCACTAAAGACTCCTTGAAGAACCATCTTTTTTAAGTGTCCACTCACAAGAAGGTCAGCTTTAGTTCTCTGTTTATTCATTTATGACTGGAGTGACAGTTAAAGGGGAACGCCACCCATTTTTCAAAAAGTCTACATAATGAAATGAGATGTAAACAAAGTCATTCAGAGTGGTCTGGTGTGAAATGCACAGTTCTAGTATTTGCCGAGTCAGAATTGTTCACAGTGGTGGTGATAGGAACCAGACGTCCACCTCTAAAAGCTCCCTCACAGAAAGTTATTATAAGAAATGGCTATTATGGTTTTATGATAGTTTTGTGATAAAATTTTGGCTTAAAATGTATTCGAATCAATTTATTTCAACCTATTCATGGCAGAGGGGTACATGCCGGACGCTGTGAGGCAAAATAGTCCCCAAAGAAAACTTATTTTTTCAGATTTATGACTATTTTATCATCATCAACATTAAAAACTAAAAACTCAGAAGACACGTGTAGGTTCACTGATGGTTTTGTATAGTAAAGAGAATGGCCATATTTATAGATAGTGTGACCCCTGGTTCCTATCACCACCACTGTAAAGAAAGCAGCGTCTGTAAGTTGTAAGCTGTAAGCTGTCTACTGATGAATCACTTCACGTCAAACCACTCTGAATGACTGTTTACATCTCAGCGGCTGAATTATTCAGCAATTTCAAACAATGGGTGGAATTGCCCTTTAAGCATGAAATGGTTCTATATAGAACTCCTGGTTCTAAATAAAAGCATTCCCTTGCAGAACCAATTTTTTTCAAGTTGACAAGAAGATCAGCTTTAGTTCTGTTTGTTCATTCAGGCTGGAGTGACAGTTAAAGCAGGTTTGAGGGAAAAAAGCACGCAGACAGGTCGGACTGAGCGGAGCGCGTTACTGCTCTCTTACCTTCTTCTGCAGACTTCATACTCGCTTCAGCGGAGCAGCTCAGTTCAGACCCTCGGCGCTTCCCCCCCGAACCGTCACCGGGCTCACACGGCTGCTGCTGCTGCCTCGACTCGCCTCTTGAATCCGCTCTCAGGCAGCCAGTCGCGGGCATCCACTCTTCCCTCCGTGACAGAGCGCGTTTTCGTGCAGCGGAGAAAGTCGAAATGTCCAGCGCGGTTTAAACGAGGAGCGAGAAACGTGCCGAGAGGTGACGGGAGGACTGAGGTCGCGGCGAACTGGTTTTAGAGACCGGTGAAGTTGGAGGGCGCTAAGCTAACCGCGCTGCTGCCACCGTCAGCGGCATCCCCGTTCACTTCGCGTGGCGGTTACTTGGCGACGCGCGCGAGGTGCTTCGTCCGGCACTTCTTGTCGGCTGTTGTTGTTTTTTCTTTTCTTTTCTTTTTTCTCTTCACGCCGTGGCAGCTCCGTCTCTCCTCCGCATCGCGGTTCCACACTGAGCTCCCGGCGCGACTGACGGAGCCACAGCCCTCGCACTTTTTAAACCTGGAAAACACCTCCCGGTTCCCGCCCTCCAAGCTATCACGTGCGCCATCCCTGGCACGGGCTGCACAGGTCTCGCCGTGGAGGGATTCCGCGCGCGAGCGGCGAGGATTCAGAGTGAAGAGAAATTCGATTCAGTTCTACCGAACCGATTCTTTCGAGCTCTCCGTTTCAGCGAACAGAACGTCGCTCTAGTGAGGAAATTCGACGCAGTTTCATTCGATTCTGTAAAACTGTCACTTTTAAAGATTCGGATGTCCGATTCAAAGATTCAACAGTAAAAACGGTCCTCAGTTTAGTCCGAAACGCACTTGATTCGGTTACAAACAGTTTAACTGGTTTTATTTAAGTCAAATAATTATTTGGTAAACAGTGGAGCTCCTAAGGTGACATGGTAATAAGGCACGGCCACAAATTAATATATGAAGGCCAACAATTACTATATACATTAACTATATATATATATATATATATATATATATATATATATATATTATATATATATATATATCTCTTGAATCCGCTCTCAGGCAGCCAGTCGCGGGCATCCACTCTTCCCTCCGTGACAGAGCGCGTTTTCGAGCAGCGGAGAAAGTCGAAATGTCCAGCGCGGTTTAAACGAGGAGCGAGAAACGTGCCGATATATACATATATATATATATATATATATATATATATATATATATATATATATATATATATATATATATTAATTTGTGGCCTCAATATAGTAATTCGTGGTCTCAAAATATGGAAATGTGACCATTTAAAAAGCATCTTAGGGGCTCTGTGATTTAAAACTAGCAAAGATAATTGAGATAAACAAAATCACTGTTTTCTTGATCCAAAATCTTACAAATGCATCAAATGAATGACTAACAACTAATAACTAAAAAGCTTAATAAGTATTCATTCATTATATACCTATCAGCCATAACATTAAAACACCTCCTTGTTTTTACACTTATTGTGCATTTTATCAGCTCCACTGACCATATAGGAACACTTTGTAGTTCTACAGTTACAGACTGTAGTCCATCTGTTTCTCTGCATACTTTGTTACCCTGTTCTTCAGTGGTCAGGACCCCACAGAGCAGGTATTATCTGGGTGATGGATCATTCTCAGCACAGCAGTAACACTGATGTGGTGCTTGTGTGTTAGTGTGTGTTGTGCTGGTACAAGTTGATCAGACACAGCGATGCTGCTGGAGTTTTAAACACTGTGTCCGTTTCCTGTCCACTCTATTAGACACTCCCATCTTGTTGGTCCACCTTGTAGATGTAAAGTCAGAGACGATAGCTCATCTGCTGCTGCACAGTTTGTGTTGGTCATCCTCTAGTCCTTCATCAGTGGTCACAGGATGCTGCCCACAGGACGCTGTTGGCTGGATATTTTTGGTTGGTGGACTATTCTCAGTCCAGCAGTGACACTGAGGTGTTTAAAAACTCCAGCAGCACTGCTGTGTCTGATCCACTCAGACCAGCACAACACACACTAACACACCACCACCACGTCAGTGTTACTGCAGTGCTGAGAATGATCCACCACCCAAATAGTACCTGCTCTGTGAGGGTCCATGGGGGTCCTGACCACTGAAGAACAGGGTAAAAGGGGGCTAACAAAGTATGCAGAGAAACAGATGGACTACAGTCTGTAATTGTAGAACTACAAAGTGCACCTATATAGTAAGTGGAGCTGATAAAATGGACAATGAGTGTAGAAACCGGTGTCATGACAGCAATTAAGACTGAGGTTAAAACAAAAGTTACACTTTAAGATCCACCCAGATCCTGAGTTTTTTTTTCCATCGATTTTTCCAAATTTCAGTATGTCAGTGTTTGAAATGTAAACAAAGTCATTCAGAGTTGTTTGATATGAAACGGTTCATTGTAGAGAAACAGGCTCAGATTTCTTTACAGTGGTGGTGATAGGAGCCAGGGGTTGCAGTGTTTACAACACAAATATAGCCATTTATTTACTATGCAAAATGTCCAGTGAACCTGAATATGCCTGAGTTTTTCTATGAAATATGAAAAACAGTGGCAAATCTTTAAAAAATAATTTTCTTTGGGTGCTATTTTGCCTTATAACACCCTGCATGTACTACTCTGAACATTTAAAATGTAATAGTTTTAAAGGTTTTAGGCCAAAAGCTTGTCTCAAAACTCAAAATAATGTCTCAGACATCAGACATCATATTCATAAGCATTTCATATAATAACTTTCTGTGAGGCATTAAAGTCTTCAGACGTCTGGTTCCTATCACCACCACTATGAACTAGGTTTCTCAAGATTGGAGCACTCTGAATGAGTTTGTTTCAGTCTTAACCATTTCATTGTGCAAGAATTTTGAAAAATCTGTGATATTCCTAATTAATATAATATCCCCAACCCTAGGATACTGTGGCCTAATCAGAGATTTGCCACAATGCTGCAGTTTTTGTGCAGTTATGTCCAACTAATCACCCTCAGTCTGATTGAATGAGCAGAAACTTTGAGGATTTCTGCTCATATCTATTTTTGCTATGAGGCTTGTGACACTTGGTAATTGCTTCATTCCCCTGCTTATCGAGATCGTGTAGCAGGTGTTCAGACTTAGTGAAGATCGGGAGGATTAGCATGAGGTGATATGAAGGGATGGCTCTCACTGTGCTCCTAGATCATTTGTCCTGCCTCTACGTCTTCGCTGGCATGGCCAAAGACCCCAGAACGTTTCCCTTGTAGTAAAGGAAACTTTGGTTTCTTCAGACATTCCAAAAAGCAGCGGGCCCGGAGAACGGAAAAGAACTGTGAAGAGACCAATCTGGATTTTCCACCCTCTGCAAAAAAACCTCCTCCTTTAAAGGAGTGGGTGTTGAGCCTGGGCCCGAGCCTGAAGTTCAGCTGAGAAAACCAGGGCTGCATTCACAAAGCATCTCTGTTCTGGTTCGGGACCATTTTTATCTGTTTTGTTCCTGCAACAACATCCTAGATATGCTTTTCTGTCCTATTCTAGCAGTACGGTTTTGAGTGCAGAGGAGTGAGTGCTGAAGAATGTTCTGCATTCAGCCCCATGGGGGCGTAATTAGTGATAGTGTGAGTAATAGTTAGTCTAATTCATTCAGAATAGAGGCAGAATATGCAGCAAAGGCCGAAAAGAGGCCTGGCATGTAAGGCGGAGAGGAATCATCTTATGTAATCACGCATCCAGAGCCATTAGGGAAGGAATAAGTGCGCTCCTAGAATATGTGCACGGATCTCTCTGCCCACATTTGCTTTTCGGAGGCAGCTGCGTTCCACTGGCTCATTTGCTTACGGTGAATGAGGCCTGCGATGCAAAATTTGTGTCTGTCTGATATTTTGAAGGATATTGTCCTTTTGGAAAGGATGACAACATTTTGACCTCTTGCTGGCTCTCCAGGGTCATGAAACGTAGCATAATGACCACCTATGTGCTGATGAAAATTGAGGTCCTAAGTCTGAAACAACCTTTTAAACTGCATGCTTAATGTTTGGTTGATCTTATGGCTTATTACAGAGTAACTACTGTGAATTATTCAGCACCTACTGTAGAAAACCCAACAGCAACAACAAAACATTTCTGGATTACCACAGATGGACCAGATATATCAACACATATCTTTTCCCCTTTTGACCTTATAGTCATGAACAAATTATATTCAGTAGAGTTAGCCGTACCTATTATTATTTCACTGTACTGCTACTGTACTTATTGTACAATTTTTGGCCTATCCCTTCAGGTGTAGTGTGAGTAGTCTTTTTATTGTATTGTATTGCAATAAGTTTCTAATTAGACCATGTTAGGTCAATATAGGCATGTTCAGGGTTGGGGTGTAATGGAATACAAATATAATACATGTTCAAAAGATAATCTGTAATACAGTAATCTGTACTCAGTCCAAGTCACATTTTGTAGAGGCAGTATTTATTATATAGTTAATTTACACATTTTTAGGTGAATACTTTTAGAATATTTAACCACTTAATAAAGAAACACACAGTCTTCACACAAACCCCCACCTCAGTGTTTGTTTATGACAGGGCCACCAGAACCGCAGGGTCAAGTGGACATTTGACCCACCACTTTTTAATACTGGGGTGATGACCCACCACTTTCTGACTGAGTTCAGGGCGCTTTATTACATCATTTTACTTTCTTAAAACAGCTGAAATCTTTGTTTATTTTATAACCCGATTTCAGAAAAAGTTGGGACGCTGTGCAGAATGTAAATAAAAATAGAATGCTATGATGTGCAAATCATGTAAACCATATTTTTAAAGGAAAATTCTACAAAGACAACGTATCAAATGTTGAAACTGAGAAATGTAATGTTTTTTGAAAAACAGATGCCCCTTTTTGAATTTGATGCCAACAACATGTTCCAAAAAAAGTTGGGACGGGGGCCTGTTTACCTCTGTGTTTCATCACCTCTTCTTTTAACAACACTCTGTAAGCGTTTAGTAACTGAGAAGACACTCCTGTAGTTTTGAAAGTGAAATGTTTCCATATTTTTCATTTCATAACCCTCCAAATGTTATCAGTGGGTGACAGATCTGGACTGCAGGCAGGTCAGTTTAGCACCCAGACTCTTTTAATACAGAGCAATGCTGATGTAACACATGCAGAATGTGGTTTTACATTGTCTTGCTGAAATAATCAAGGCCTTTCCTAAAAAAGTTGTTGTCTGGATGGCAGCATATGTTGCCAAAACATGTATCTATCATTCAGCATTAATAGTGCCTTCACAGATTGCACATTACCCATACCATGTGCACTAATGCACACCTATACCATAATGAGTACTGGCTTTTGAACTGTGCACTGATAACAAGCTGAGTGGTCTTTAGCCCGGCGGACACAGTGTCCATGATTTCCAAAAAGAATTTCAAATGTTGATTCTTTGGACCAGAGAACACTTTTCCACTCAGTCCATTTTAAATGAGCTCAGGCCCAGAG